TTTATGCCCGAGAACACAAACTAGTTGCGTAATGATGGTAGTATTGTTTTTAAAAAAGAAATGAAAGGAAAGACTTAATTTTCAACAGACTAAGGTAAGCGAATTTCTTTTTCACCTTTGAACGAAGTGAAGGTGCTAAAAAAGACAAATGGATGCGAAATTCCATAAAGATAAATTAAATTACAAAGGGCTTCAATCATGCTATCGTTCTAACTACACTAATTAATTGGTTTTAAACAACTCAGAGGTAAGTGCATTCTTCAACGAGACCTTTAATGTATGTGCCGTATTACCTCAAGTATTCCTATAGAGAGCCCATTTCTTTAAATTGCACCCAAAGGAGTAAGAGTTACTCAGTGGAATCGAATTTCTACAGATACATTTTTCAACTAATGCTTATTGTAAGTTTTGTTATAATGGAAGTATTGTTCTGAAAAAAGAAAGAGACGAAAACAACAAAAGCAACGATTATTAGCAACTAATCGTTATTGGGAAGGAAGTTTGACCAATGACAAAACGTTACGTTATTGTTCCCTACTTCACCTGCTACACCCCGTCGGCCATTAATCAGTGGAAAGTTACCCTGTAAGATTATTCTTTCTTAGATCGCGTGGAGGTTACGTTGAAAAAAAATTTGAAAAAGCCGAGGTAAGGAAACTCCTTTGCGTTATTTTGTATATTTAGTTTAGAAAAAACCTTCGGATTCTCTTTCTTTATTGAAATGATCTTTTTTACTAGCTTTCTAAGACAAGTAATTCGGAAGTAGATGAAGGGCAAATGTATATTTGCAAACGTATGTTAAAAAATCCAAGATTTATTGTCTCTGTGTTAGGGGAAATACGGAGGTCATGGCTTGCATAGAGACGCACAGAGGAATGTGCACACAGGCGAAAAGATAATTCTTTTTTTTAATGACTTTTGCGAGAATTTAGCGATTGATTAATCCAAATCATGCGCAAATACTTTTTTTACAGTTAAGTGATCACTGAGGATGTAAGCGTAAGTGTTTGGAAAAAGTGACTCGGAAATTTAGGACTGTGACAGGAACACCTGTTTTTATGGACAGATGTTAACGAACACTTATGTCTTTTGTAATATTTTTGTTCTTAACCAGGGCTCAGGCACAACATGTCTATCGTTAAAAGTGTTTGTATTTTGCTGCTTTTGACAGCTATTGCTTTGGAGGCAACCCCATTGTCAGGTAAAGGTGACGTTCAGCCTGATTAGATAGTACATGAGTACACTAAGTAAATCATGAGAGTAATTATACGCGCACACATTGAAATTTTGGCAGGTAAGTGGGAATGTTACCGAGCAGGGGCAGATCGAAGGGAGGAGTGCAGGGGGTGCACACCTCCCCCCTCCCCTCCCCCAGATAAACTGCAGCTTTCTAATATAACTTCATGGTTAAAGAAAATTTCACACCGTGTTATTGCCAGCCATAAGCCTTCTTCTTCGTTCTTCGCTTTTAAAATTTGTCTACGTCACCTGTCAGTTACCAGTTACGTCTTCCTGGATCTGCCCCTGATGAATAAATGATTAGGCAAGATGGAAAGCAAGTAAGTTATATCAGAAAGAAATTAGGAGCTGTTTAATACGACAGCTGCATTTTAAAACCGTGGAGATTGTGTGACGATAAATTTGTGTATGAGTTAAATGCTTATACTGTTGGTACTGAAACACTGAAGATAATTTAATTGGTTCTTACAGGAACAATGAAAAAGCAAGCAAGGAGATCACCATTGATCCATCCATGCAGATACAAGTGTATACCTTTTGGAGCAATCTGTCGCGGATGGATAGTGGTTACTGGTTCTTGCGGAGGGATAGATATATGCTGTCAAGTCGTTAGTATTTAATTGTTATTAAGCCTTTTTTTCATGTACTCAGGTGACGAACTCACTCAAGGTAGAATAGCCCTTAAAGTTAACGGGTAATGTCAGAGGACAAGGTTCCAAGTGACTTGAATAATTAACAATTACTCGCCGAAGTAAAGTAAACTCGATTCAAGACATAACTCATTCATTCATTCATGTATCCATCTAGCTCCATTTATCCATCCATCTTCCCATCCATCTATCCATTATTTCATCCATCCATTAAGAGAATATATACTGACCTTAGTTTATAATATTTTGATTCATCCCTCTATCCATTCATTGATCCATTCATTCATAAATTCATTCACTCGTTCACTCGTTCACT